GGGAGCCGAGCCTCCTACCCACCCCCTGGGCGGGTTCAGCACCAGAAGCGAGGGACAGCGGCGGACGGGGCAGGAGCGAACCTGCGAGCTGGTCCTATGTGCGCGCACACACAGAAGATCTCAGCTTCTTACGAGTCCTCTGCGCGCGCGCACACACACACATAATCTCAGCTACACACACAATCTCAGCTCCATACGAAGGCCCAAAGACGCAAAAAAACCCCCCCAGCCACAAATAGTTACAACAGAGCTGGGGTGGGGGTCGGGGTAGGGGGAAGAATGTGCAGCCAGATCAGGAAACTCAGACTGCAGACAGACAGACTCCCTCAACCCAGAAAGTCAGAAACCACCAGAAAGGTACCCATTAATAATAACACTGGCTGCCACCCACACAGCTCTCCCCACGTGGTACCAGGGGTTGGGAAAAAAAATATTATCAATGCTTGCTTGTACTTCTGACATACTGATCGAAGTAGACACCTTGGTTGGACAAGGCACTTTTCTTTCTGTGCCTCAGTTTCCCCATCTATAATAGTGTCTCCTTCCTGGGGGTGTGTGTTTGGGAGGCTCATTTCGACCCACCCGTGAGACCCACGGCCAGCCAGCACGAAGAAAGGAAATGGAGTTTTCCCCTCTGTCCCTCTCAGCAGGTGGGCGGGCCACGGGCAGGAGGTGGCCCCGCTCAGCGCCCACTGCCAGGCCTGGCTCGTGCACACTCCCAGGCCGGCTGCCAGCGGAGGAGGGCGCTGATCCAGCTCCCGGAGGCTTCCCACGCCCGGGCCCGGTTCTGGGCAAGGGGGAGCAGGATGAAGGAGGGGGTGGACTCGGGTCCTAAAAAGCCTGCTCAGAGGTCCGGTGGCTCAGCCTTCACTGGTGATGTGACTTCCAAGGTGGGAGGCAGCGGGATGGCTGGGATTACCCCGGTGTGCATGCCCCTTCTCACTCCTCAGAGCTGCACCAGCCAGGGGCCTGGCCCCGGGAAAGCCCCGCTCACTCCCCAGTGCTGTACCAGCCTGGGGCCTGGCCCGGAGAATGAGGGAGCCTGCCCTCCACCAAGCTTGGATGTTGCTCAGGAATTCCTCTTCAACCCTCCTGACCTGGATTCTATTCCTGGCTTGTGCTGGGGGAGGGTTCACTTCTTCCATGATCCCCGCCCTCCACTGGTCTCTAAGATGTCTATTTCTGCTCCTGATGCCATGCAAGGGGCTACTGGGACAGGGATGCCTGCAGCCCTAGGGGTCCAGCCTGCCTCCCCCATTACCGGGCATTGCAGATCAGCTCTAACTTAGAGCTTTGTGGTATGATCAAAGCTGAATCAGCCTCCCCAGGCCCAGCCTCAAGCCTCTCTACTGGGCTCCAAGTTGGCTTCCTAGTGGGGCCCAACATTGTTCTTATTCCTTTGCATAATGTCTAGCTCCGTTTTTGTGGGGTCCAACCTCAGACTGGGCTGCAATTTGGCCACAGCGTCTCCACAGCAGTCATTATTGTCCCTTTTCTTTCCCTCTAAGCACCAACTTTCTTAGTTTTCCACTGGAATCTACCCTCAGCTCCAGTGGAGGCCAGCCTCAACTCTTACGTTCTACTCTAACCCACTGTGGTTTAACTTTCAGCCTTTCTGCTAGGGCCCCACCTCATTGCTTTCTGAGTCTAACCTTGGTTTCCCTTTCTCTCAAATCTCCTTCCTTCCTTTCTTCTGGGGAAATCTGGTCCCCTCCACCCCACCACAGCACCCACACAGAGCCTATCATACAGCAGGTGCTCAAGAAACGCAGAACAAAAGGGAGTTGACGACAATGGAAGTTTCATTCTTCTGGACAAATCATCATGAGTAGGGGCGGGGCGGGTGAAAGAAACCTCTTTGTAAATGAGGAAACTGAGGCACAGGGTGATGCGGCTGGCCAGCCAGGGTCACATGGCACATGCGGGCAGAGGCGGAGCAGGAACCCCACCTCATCACCCCAGGCTGAGGGGGGTCTGGGGAACTAGTGTATCCACCAGAAGTGAGCGCCCCAGGGAACTGCTCCTCTGGCCCCGGGAGTGGTGATGCGTGGGCTGTCAGGAGGCTGGGGTCTCAGTAACTCCTGGATCTACTCCGTCCCCTGATCCCTGGCGCTGCTGACATCGCCGCTGTTCCACTCGGTGACGAAGTCGGGTCAGGGCCAGCTCAGAGGCCTGGATCAGACTGTGCTGTGGAGAACAGGAGAGGGTGAGCGGGGCTGAGGCCAGCACTGGCTGGAGGACTCGGACACAAGTGCGAGGAGACACGGCTCTCTGAAAGGGGTGAAGGTCAGACCCCAGGGGGGTGGGCAGCAGCCTGATGTGAATCCATGGTGAAAGCAGGGAGCCAAATGCAAGAGTCTGAGGTTAGCCCTCGGCTGAAGGGACAGGAACAGATCAATAAGTCAGAGCCTGAGATCACACTGTAACAGGAGGGAGGCCGAGCACTGAGAGAGGCTGAGGTCAGACCACAGCCGAGGTCCTGGGAGGAAACGTCAGGAAACAGAACTTCAGAGGAGAGACAAACTCAAGCGGAAAAGAGAGACAAAAAAGTCTGAGTCCAGCTGGAGGGTCTGAGGGGAGACCCTGACAGAAGGGACCTGGAAGAGGCCACGATGAGGTGGCTTGAAATGTAAGAGGGATGATATTGGATCACTGGAGATGAGGGATGTCGGGCCCCTCACGTCTGTTCACACAGTCTCTTCAACACAGTGCTTTTTCTCGAACCCTCACCTGTGTCTTTCCCATTAGGGTCTCCCCTCAGATCTCTCCCCACTAGGGTCCAATCTACATCCTTCCCACTAGGATCTAAGCTCTGACCTCTACTGGCTGGACCCTTAGTCCTTCCCACCGGCTCTCACCTCATTCCATTTGACTTGAGCCTCATCCTTGCTCCTTTTCAGTGGAGCCCAACCTCGTGCCTTAGACCCCAGAGTGTTCTCTTGGAGTCTATCAGACTGTTAGAAAAGCCCAAGCAAGGTCTGTGGGAGAGGCAGTGAAAGTGAGACCCCAATAGACAGAAGCCAGGTGTGGCCACACCCAGAAAGATCCTGCAGTCAGATGACAGGGGAGGAGAACGCAAATACTAGCTTTGCAGACAAAGCTATGCCGCGGCCTGAAGGGTGGGGTTTGGACCAGAGTGGAAAAGGTTAGAGGTCAGACTACAGCAGGAAGTGTTCAGGGCTGGACCTCCACCAGATGACTGGCTATGTGATCATAATGAGACTAATTGCAGGTAGGCTGAGGCACCCGTGTGAGGTCAGAGTACAGAGGAAGGCTGGGGATCAGACCACAGGTGTGAAGGATCTGATCCCTACAAACAGCCGAGAGGTTAGACTGGAGTGGAATGGCTCAATGTTAGACAACAGTGGAAAGCTGGAGATTGGCTGTGGACGTGCTAGAAGCGGTGCTGCCAGGGGGTGGGAGGAGGGTAAGAAATGTGACAAGAGTGAAACATCTGAAAGTTAGAGATGCAACAGAAGGTTGGATGCTAGACTATATCTAGAACCCAGTCGGTTAAAGAAAGACAGAGAAGTGAGAGTTGGCTGCAAAGGAGAGGGAACCATCTGGCATGGAGCACACAATTTAGGCTGCAGTGCAGGCACCCAAGGCAAGACCACGAAGGCTGGATCCAAGGCAAGACCACGAAGGCTGGATCCAAGGCTAGACCATGAAGGGTGGGTCCAAGGCTAGACCATGAAGGGTGGGTCCAAGACTAGACCACAAAGGCTGGATCCAAGGCTAGACCATGAAGGGTGGGTCCAAG